GTGGCCCTGCTGGTGGTATATTATACATCTCAAAGGGATATGCCATTCTTCCCAAATCCAACAAATTAAAAAGCTAGTGTCTATTTTGTATATATATGGCACCTCTTAGGGCATTATTCTAATTTTCATAGAGTATCTTACCCAATTTATCACCGCTCCTTAAAAACATTCCTTAAATTATTATACATTTAAGTAAATTTATAACTGTTTATAGATTTTGCCTATAAATTAAAAAAGATTTGAGCATCCATAACCAACAATGGACTCCATGATTTCACTTATTCTTCTTTCGTTTCTTCTACTTCTTCACATTTATTTGTTTATACAAAAATTAAAAATTAAAAAAAAATTGATGTTTACACTTTTGTTAGAAGTGAATGTCAACATTTGATACTACATAACTGTTGGCAAATATAATTCTATTCCATCCAAAAAGAAAGAGGAAGAGAAAGAGAAAGAGAGAATATGTTGGTGTAAGAAGAAAGGCTATACAACAAATGATTCTTCTTAAAATAAAAGACTTTTTGAAAGAATGTTACACTATAATTCCTCCTACATGTTGAGAAAAAATTTATTTGATTGAGAAATTTATAAGAAGGGTGATTAGTGTTAAAAATGCCAAAGAACAATTATTTAGAAGAATTATCTATTTATGGAATTCAATTTAAATTAGGAGAAGAATAAGAAAGAATTATTTAGAAAAAAAAATCAGTATATTTATGAAATTCATATCAAATTAGAAGGAGAATAAAAAAAATATTTTATAATTTGAAAAGGAGCCAAAAATAGTGCTGACATTATTTATTTCAACTTATTTATTCTACTAATTTCATTTTTTTTTTATCACAAATACTTTCCTCATTTATTTTTTATTTATGTGTCTTTAATTAAAATTTATATCTTTAACATTAAATCTCTTTATATTTATATTTTAATTAAAATTTATATCTTAACAACTTCTATCAATTGAGGGAGGGCCCTTGAAGTAGCTAAATACTCTATTGCAGGTTCATAGTATGACAAAAGCCATACACAAAGACATGCCTCATAGAGAAGCTAAGCTGATTGAAGGAAGAAAATAAAATCAAGAAGAAGAAAGAAAAATATATTCTTTTGTCATCTAGCTTCTGGAGGTGGTTGAATGAGTACAGAACCGTCTCAACCACCACAATTTTCTAGCAGGACACGTATATATAATTTATATAAAGTTATGCAATATGTGGCATTTTCTATCACTGGCGTTGTCATTAAGAGGACCGCAAAGTTATTACTTCATTTATCATTCTAACATTCTCTGTCTTTTGATATCATAACCTAATTACCTCACTGTCAAAGATAGAATCTTACAGCTCTTCTCTTGTATGAACCAATTACCTTCCCACAGCATTAATCTGGAAAACAAAACTCATCTTTAGAAAAGTTGAATGTCACGGACAGAAAATGATACATAATCTTCACTGATTTATAAAAATACTTAACAGTTTAGAAGAGACAAAAAAAGAGAGGAGAACATACGACTCCAATGTACAATATGAGTGTCACCCTTTTCGACAACCTATATATATATGTGTATTTGGTGGTTCTATTTATCATTTCAATATCACCTTATTGACAATTTCTGGTCATTATGACCAATAAACTCAATGCGCAGTAAAGAAAGGGCAATAAAATACCTGTACTAACAAACTGAAGGTAAAGGTGTCTTGACTTTGCCACTGTGCGTATTATTAGAGTAAATATAATAATGTAATTAAAGTCCTAGCTTGATAAGTCTTCTAATTCTAGCATCCAAAAACTTTGTACTGAAAGTTAGAAATGAGGAAACTTTTGGTACGAACCATAAAATTGAACTATTATATAAACGGGGAACACAACAGGTGTGATCTTCTATAAATATGGCAATATATGTTGATATAGGATGAAGGCAGGGAAATGGGGTGCATGCAAATTGCAATCCTTTGCTACAAAGGAAGAGAAAGAAAATAGTATCTACACGGCAAGTGTAAATAAAGGACATGAAAAAGCCTGAAACTTGGGAATAGATCAATAGTGTAAAGAACACTCACACTACATTTTGATGATGCTGATTGTAGATGACTGTTTCAAATGAACTTCTTGAAATGAAGATACCAACGACAATAACAAGTCCAAAAGAATTAGACTATCTATACATGGGAGTCAGGTGTATGCCAGGATTGTATAAACCCAGAATTATTTTGTCCATATACATGAGATTTACACTGAAATTAACAGAAATAAAAAAAAAAAAAAGATAAAAAGATACCGTATCACGTGGAGTGTCATGACTATACACTGACTGGTGCATTATGAGACAATCAATACAGAGTTACGTTGTCTTTAAATTACGCTGCAGAAACTTGTGCGCGCAAGTAGACTGCTGCATATACGTGATCAGTATCATCGATGATCCAGCATACTCGGTAAAATCTTTGCTGTAAAACAGTAGTGTTGAACTATACAAGAAGAATACAAGCCTTGACCTGAAAAGGGGAAAATGAATCACATTGTTACAAAGAAAGTATTTGGATTGGAAGACAAACAATTTCACGAGTTCTAGTGAGTCAGCAGAAAGCCAGAAAGAACAATAAATCTTTTATGAGTCTGTCAGTGGCGGAGCCATCTTGTCGCAAGGGGAATCGATTGACACGACACCCCTTCACTGAAAGATTACACTGTGGAAATAGGTGAAAAAAATACCTTTTTATGTTTATATACTAACTGTTGAATCTCCCTGGGTTTTCGTGTGTATACTTTTTTATGTTTTGACTCCCCTTAGTGAAAACATAGCTCCATCACTGAAGTCCGTCAAGGTACTAACAAATGCATGAGCAGGTAAAACTTCTGCAGTATAATTTAGGCAATAGAATCTGTCGAATATGTTCATGCATGCAAACTACTTCATGGGAGGGGGAGAAGCTAAGGCTCATTTTCAGTGCAATAAACTATAGCAAGTAGGACACTTTGCAGTCAACAAGATATAATACAGCATCTGCTTGTGTATAACATGTATTTACCTTTAAACCGGAGATGAATAAATTTCCCGATTGATATTTATAGTCCAATCTGCTTCATCCATACTCAAGACTTATCATTTTTTCTTAATGCATTGATTAGGTTAGTGTAGGTTATTCGATCAGGTTCAATTCCATTTTTGCGCATTTCCTTGACCAAATCTACTGCACGTTCAACCATTCCATTATAGCTGCACAAATCAGGTCCAATTGATCCTGATTCTTTTAATTCTGCATGCCAGTACATCTGAAACTTCTTCAATCCATCCTAGCTCGCTCGCCATAAATGTTTATCATAATGTTGTAGGTGTAATGATCAGAAGAGTAACCAGATTCCTTCAGTACATTATGGAATTTCTCCATTTGTCCTTCTTTCCCATAGGCATCTAACATACAATTGTAGGCTTCAAGAGAAACCGATCGAAAAGCCATTGAAGCGCATTTTCTTGACAGTTGATGTCATATTCTTCCATGCTTGACTTGCAAATTTAGCATCGTGTACAAATTAGACGAGTTTGGCTTGTGTCCAAGTCTTTTCAGTTCCGCATAGTATCTATTTGCTTCCTCATAATTGTCTTCCCGACCCCACCCTTCTATCATAGACCTGTAAGTTGTTTCATCAGGCTCCACTCCAACCCTTTTAAGGTCACCAAACAATCACCCCAAGACTATGACTGAATTATCAGAGGTACAACTTAACAAAACTAAGGTCCTATTACCCCCGAATTCATTTTCTTGGTAATTTTGTGCACCTTTTTGGCTTGCGTGGCATCCAAATATCTTTCACGTGCCTCAAATGCGTGGAGTCATGAAGTGTGCCACGTAAGAAAAAAGGTGCACAAAATTACAAAAAAAATAAGTTCAAGGGCTAATAGGACCTTAGTTTAGTTAAGAGGTGTCTCTGAGATTTCAGTCATAGTCTGGGAATACTTGTGTCTTATCACATTATAATGAGAAATGGCCCCACTTTTTTTGTAACTATAAGGTTGTGCCAAAGGGCTAACAGGTCAGCACAATTAAAGATTAATTAAGCATGCACAAAAAATGACTTATTTCTACCTATTAAAATTTAGAACCAAACTCAAATGACTAAAATGCCACATACAAATAACTAATGACTCTAAGCATACATGTTGATACTAACTTCCTAACTCATGCTTCTATATAGGTAGAAAAAGAAATTATGAGAATGACTTTGATTGTAAGTTTGTGTTTGTGCAGTCGATTTGATTTAAAAGGTTTTTTTTTACGAGACACACTAATTTTATCTATCAAAACTTAAACAAATTAAAAGAAATTAATTAGCAATTTGCCTTCATTTGGTTATGAGAATATTTCGCTTTTTTTGAAAATGAGGGCTTGATCATGGAAATCTCAAATACAACTTGAAGTTGTATTTAAAAATTATAAAGCACCCTAGCCCTTATTATCACTTTCACTATATTATTCTTTTTTCAATTTTACCCTAATTATATATATATATAAAGAACCTTATATGAATTATATTTCACTTCCTTTTTAGAAAAAATACCTTCAAACAACTAAATATTATTTCGAAAAAACATAACAAATAAAGTGAAACGTAGATAATTTTCTTAAAAAATACATTAAAATTCTAAACAAACTTTGCAAAATAAATCCATACAAGTGGGCCAGTTTTGAAAAAAAAGGTGATAATATCAGTATATTATAATTAAAACAAAGTTAAGATAATAACAATTAAGGATAGCAATAACACTAATCATTATCATTATGATAGAATAAGCAGGCAGCACAAAAGAAAGAAAAAAAAGGAGACAAAAGTTGGATGTCTAAGCTTAAAAGATTTAGAACAGGTCCACAGTTGATATGGTATTTAGTCAAATACATTCTTCTCTACAAATTAAAGCTCCATCATCACAACACTATTAGTCTTTTTTCAAAACACTAGCATTAACTGTGTTTAGACAGTACAGAGAGGATGCACTTTTACTGTTCTGCATCGTATTCATCTCTTTTTCGTTTCACCCCTCCCATTCCCATCGCATTCAAAGTGTCTATAACATCCTTCATCGAGGGCCTCTTGTCTGGATCAAAATTCGTGCAGAGGAATACCAGAAGTGTGATAGCTAATGCAGTTGGATAATCAACTTCTGTGAAGCATTCATGAACCAAATATTTTTTACCACGCTTAACCGCATTTGCAATTGATGTTTGCACACAACAACACACATGAGCGAAACTAAACTTCCTTTTGGCCATCAGCTCCAGCAGTAGAATACCAAAATAATAAACATCAGATTTCATGGTCCTGGTCCTCTCACCTGTGTATAAGAAAAGATAAGAACACAATTGTATAAGAACGAGAAATAATATGCCATATAAAACAGCAAATATGATGAAAATTATCCACAAGGCGAAACCTATGAGTCCTAATTTTTAATTCAGACAACTTTTCACTAGATTTTTTTTGTTAAAGCCAAAAACATAAAAATACAAGGGTCATGGCTTTTGACACCCAATTTTGACCCTCCACGATTTGATTAATTTTTGAGCTTCTTAAATTTTAAACAATTGGAAATAATTGTTTTTTGAAAAAATCCAAATATGTTTTCAGGCTTGGTTTTGTTGTTGTTTTTAGAAGCAATTATATATTTCTATATTTATATACATATAAGTTTTGTGTACGACTTTGGGGTTTTATAAATATCTTAAAATTTGTCTCAAAAAAATAATAATGTTTTAACTTAATACTTATCTTATTTTTTCTTAAACTAATCAAAAAATTCATTATTGTTGCAATTAGTCTTATTTTCGATAATTAGTTAATTATTTCACTAAAGGGGGTTTCCTCTCTCCTAGGAAGTAGGAGAGAGGGGTTCTTGGGAGTTGTGCCTGAGAGAGAACTTTTTACCAGTTATGCTATTCTAACTTGGTTTATATGGGGACACACGCTAGTCCTTATCCAAAGATGTTGTTACGAAGGATTTCTGACACCAAAGACCCAATCCAACAAGCTTACTCCTATCCTCTATTTACTACTCCTTAAACGCGGGAAATAGCTAAAATAGAGGAGATCTCTTGGAGGCAAAAGTCCAGATGTATATGGCTCATAGAAGACAGAAGGGGACAGGAATATCAAATTCTTTTGGAGAGTAGCAAACTTTCAAAGGAGTAACCACGTTGATAAGCTATTGATTGGGGAAGAAGTCTAAGAAACCAAAGATAGCATCAAAGCTGAAATTCGAAGATTTTACCAAGCTTTCTACACAGAAAAAGAGAAATAGAGGCCTGAGGCACGATTTGAAAGTCTAAACTTCTCATCACAAACAACAGAGGAGGCAACATACATCTGAAAAAATTTAATCATAGCATGAAAAGAAGAGAGATATTGAGGTTCGAACAAACATGCCTTTTAGAATCTCTGGAGCTCTAGCACCATCAAGAAAGCTATCATCCACATTGAAAGTATTTGTTACGTACCCAAAGTCAAATACTTTAATGTTAAATTCCTGCAAGCCAAAAAAAGTTATTTCCAGCAAGCCAGATCAACGTAATAAGATGTAAAAACGTATTTCAAAAAGTGTGCTAAGACAATCTTGTGAGATATCTAAAGGAAATAGATGACCATCAAGTATTCAAACTCACCTTATCTATCATAATGTTTGCAGGAATAAGACGGTCAAGTGCAATATTGTTCTCATGCAAACATGAGTAGAGATCAGCAAGTTGAGTTGCGACCTTCATCCGCTCAACCCACCCAAAGTCATCTACAAATGATAGAGAAAAACAAAAGCAATGTGCACACTGATGAATAATCATTCAACATAATACTCGAGATAGTAATATAAGTACCAGAGAGAAGCACATCCGACAAAACTAGTCCAGTGAATTCTTCATCAAAGACAAGTGCAAGCCTCGTATCACAACAGTACCTATACAACTTCACCAAATTTGGATGCATATTTACTCTTTCATTGGTGAATAACTCGATCTCATCCTACAAGAAAAGAAAGAAGCTTAATTTGACATCATTTAACGAACCAACAAAAATCAAAATACTATCTAGCAAATATACATACACAAAATGTAGTTAGACATTGAAGAGCATCTCTCATAGGAAGGTGAAAATCCCATGTCTTTACAATAACCGATCGTTTTTCAGATCCTTCAACAATGGTTCCCTGGAACAGTCTTCCTGAAATAGTCTTTTGAATTACTTCAGGATTCTTGAAATTAGTAATCCCGTCCAAATCGGAGTAGCTGCAATGCTTCACCTTACCAACTATCGTTGGCTCAATTGAGAAGTCGAAGCTACAATTTGGCAACCAGAGAAACATTCAATCCCAATTATATTATAACCTAGAAAATAAAATTGCATGACAAGGCAAGTTATTCAAACCTTTCGAATCGCTTGCATGCCCTGTAAAAAGATTTTAGCGATTGGCGAGCTATATAATCGATGAGCATAGGGTTACGCCAATTGATAGGCTCCTCCTTGTTGAAACGTTGGTACAGATAAGGGAAAAAGCTCCAGTCCATCAATTTCTTCCTAAGGATCTCAATGTCCTTCTTCTGCTTATCAATACTCATCTCGACGTCTGTCGTGGTCGTCATCGTCGTCGTTTTCTAGGGCACAGAAACACATAGTAGAAGAACCAAAACCAAGGATAACAGAAGAGGCGTTCTGGTGGTTAAAATGGAATGGAACTTTTTATCCGCCCCCAGTCCGGATTATTTGGAGCGTGGGTTTCATGTATACTACACATGTATCATATATATCAAATTTTTTCATATTTAATAAATGCTTAAGTACCTCTCGAACACTTTTACCTATTCAAAATTGTTTCTATTAGGCTTTTTTTGATAATCAGCAAAAAATATGAAGAGTGTGTGATACACTTGCGATGATGTGACAAAATAGCTAATTAAAAAATAACATGTAGCACTGGGCCCCAAAAATTATAAAAAAAATAATTTTGTTTAAAATTATTTCAAACACATTTTATATTTATTTTTTTTTAAAAGAAAAAGAAAAAAATGAAAATGTCAACCTATTCTACCCAACCCCCTTTCATCTTCATCTTTTTCCCAAAACGTAATTCTTTTCAAATAACTTGAAGATTAACTTTTTTTAAAAATAAAATAAAATATATATATATATATATATATATATTATTTTCATACTAAGAGTGAAGAAGAAAGAAAATTTTGCCGGCGGTTATTCATTTCTACATCGATAACAAAATGAAATTGATAGCTCACAAATTAATTCTTTCAAATTTTTGAATATCATTTTTGATAAATTTAATGGGTTTATATATGAATTTGAGTAAAAATCTTTGTTCGAAAATTGTGATAAACAAATATCGGCTAACTTTTTTTATACGTAAAAATTATTTATCTTCTTTCTTCTTCTTCATATTTGTTCCTTATTTTTATATCTTATTTCAAATCTGAATCTTCATAGTTGATTTTCATTTATCTTCATATTTGGAAGAAATAATATTCTTTTTTTTTATGAAAAAGAAAGAAAAACAATGTTGGAGCTAAAATGAAGAAAGTTTTGCTAACTAAATTATGAAGAAGATGATAGGTAGGGGGTGGAGTGCTTTTCTTTTTTGAAGAAAAAGTGGAGAAAATGATCAAAATGGTCCTTAATGTATGGACTTGATGGAAATGGTCCTTTATGTATCATAAATTGTGATCAGTTTGGTCCTTAACCCTAAAATTTTAATGGCAGCGATTATTTTTAAAAATTTTTTAACTAAAATCGCTACACGTGGAGCGATTTCCCATTATTTTTTAAGCAGTCCTCGCCTCAGGAATTTTTAATAAAAAAAAATTAAAACTTTTTTAAGAAAATGGCTACTATAGCAGCTATTTCTATTTTTTAGCAGCGTTGTTAAAAAAAAAATCACAACAGTGATTTTAAAGAAAAAAGAAATTTTTTTTTGGACTGGCAACGATTTTTATGTTTTTTAAAGGAGTAACAACGGCAATTTTGTCAGAAGAAAATCGCTCCGTCAGAAGCGATTTTGCCCTTTTGGTTAAAAAAAAATTGATGTGCCATTTTTGAATTTTTGGAAACAGGGGAAGGAAAGTCTTGAACGAGCATATCTTTTACATATTCCGTATAATTTCACGGCAAAATAAAATAAAATATTAATTTTAGGGTTAAAGACCAAATTGATCACAATTTATGATACATAAAGGACCATTTCCATCAAGTCCATACATTAAGGACCAAATGGAATCAAAGTCATACATTAAGGACCATTTTGATCATTTTCTCGAAAAAGTGTAAATGAAAGAAGAAAAAATATTTTAAAGTTAATTATAATGCCAAGTGTCAATAAAAGAAGAAAAAAGTGTAGAGAAATTCAAAAAAGACACTATTTTGAATCTTTTCATGTGCTTCAGGGAAGTGCAAAACACATTTTTTGTCATATATGTGTTTTGTATTAATAGGTATATGTTTTGAACAATTTATGTGTTCAATAGATACTAGTCGTAGTTGAACTGTCTAAGTGAATTATGCGAATAATTTTAAGGAATCGCTGATGACTTAAGTCTAAAAATGTTAGGAGAATCTAATTATAATGCCCCATTAATTGAAAGTGCATATAATTCTTTTTGGGGTCCATACTTTTTCTTTTTACAAAAATGAAAAATAATTAAATGTAAAACATATCACAATTGCCAAAAAGGAGTCACTACCAACTGTCAATTCATTACTCAAATGGAGAGTGACATAAAAATAAAAAGAAATTTTGAAAAAAATAATATATTATTTTATTATTACATTTAAGTAAACACATGTTAAATGTTAATAGTTGATGGACAAAACATATACATATATTTATGTGAATTCCAGATGAACCTATATCATTTTATGTGATTGGTATGAGTCGATAATAGTTTAGTGTTTGAGATCAATGAATCCGTTATGAGAAGACCTACTAGATTAAGATATGTAAGCCTATAAATATGAGATTATATTTCATTTTATGACTCTAACTTAAAATATTTTCCATAAAAGGCTAGTTATCATAAGCTAAAAAGAGAGGAAAACGTAACCTAACAAGTATTCTTAATTTATATGAAACTATGATTATGTTTCTCAATTAACATAACAATTTCAATTCTATACATACATCATATTTTATGTTACAATTTCATTAATAATAAAAAACAAATATATTTTTTTCCTTAAAGAAGAAATAAAATTAGACCCAAATAATAACAAAAGTAAAGTTACTCAATATTAAATAGTAATATGCTCAAATTTCTTTATAATAAAATTATTTATTCTCACTTTCTTTAGCTATTATAATGAGATGTCGTTATAGAAAATATATTTAACATAACAAATTTGATTCTTTTTTGTCTAATTAACAAAAAATAATAATTGAAAACGTGTAAAGTAGTGACACGTGTGGTCCACCAACCAAGAATGTGGACCCCAATTTTCTATGCCCACCTGTCACGTATATATATATATATATATATATATATATATATATATATATATATATTTATTTATTTATTTATTCCCCTTATTTAGAAATGACAGTGGATGTACGAACATAGCTGTTAAAATTTGTACTATTTGTTGGGTCTATTAGTTCTTCTACATTCATAAAGTTTTTTTCTTTGTTTGATTTGTGCTTTGTTTTCTTTTTTTCCCTGAATTTGAACATTAGATTGCTACAAACTATTTGTGTTCGATTATATTCTTCACACAACTTAAAATAATTTGTCAACCAAGTTATTGTTTGAGATATTTGATGTACACCAAGTTTTGTTGTTGTGTCAAAAATAACTACTCTCTCCATTTCAAAAAGAATGACCTCATTTCTTTTTTAGTCTGTTTCAAAAAGAATGACCTCTTTTTTTTGTAACATTTTAATTTCAGCTTTCCACGTGACATATTTTAGCCCACAAGATTAAAGGTCAATTTTGTACATTTGACATAACTTTAATTTAGGACTACAAGATTCAAAAGCTTTTTTTATTTTCTTAAACTCCGTGTCAAATCAAACTAGGTCATTCTTTGTGAAACGGAGAGAATATATGTCCCTATTTACTTGTCCATATTTCTTTTTTTAGATGTCCCTATTTACTTATCCATTTTGACAAATCAAGAAATGACAAATAGGGATAGAGGGAGTATTTATTTGTTTTTTTGCCTTTTGACTTATGTTATTTTACAGCATATTTATCTTTCATTTATGAATTTGAGAGGTACATTATTTACTTCTATGTGATAGTATTGGTATAGAATATTTATGGGGCATGTGTATTTATGATAGAAAGATATTGGTTCTCTTTGTCACTTTCCGCATTTCTTCATTTGAAAAATATGAAATTTATAGGTATCTCTACTTTTTTTTTAAAGGATTATTTCAATTGACACTGGGTGCTCTTTTGAATGGGTGCAGGGTGTGAAGTCATGGTCATATTTAGAAATTTTATTGAAGAAACTCATTGTGATAGTTGAGCCAAATAGAAATATTGTTTTGAATAATTGCAAGGAAAGTATGATGTGAAGTAAAATGTGACTTGCTCTATTGTTTATTAGTTAGGACTCTTTTGATATATTGTTTAGTGTAGCTCCTGTTGACTGTCTTTAACGGTTGTGCACGTGTTTTCTTCTT